CCATCGTGGTAAGCATTTTGAGTCGATTGAATCGGTAAAAGAGAATTCGCTGATGGAACTAAAAGCCATACCTTCACGGGCCTACGAAAAGTGTATGGAAGATTGGGTTAAGCGTTGGCATATGTATATCGCTTCAGAAGGAGCATATTTTGAAGGAGATAAAATAAATTTGAAATAAAATTTAAATTTGAGTGTTTTATTTACAAAATCCGAGTACTTTTTGAGCAGAAGGTACTTGGGTTCCGCATTATTAGCATTAACGTGGAAAATGACATCTTCCGAAAAAGCAATATATGAATATTCTCTAGAAAAGACGTTGCAGGGATCACAAAAAACTTTAATAACTTTAAATATTTTGGATCGAAATATTAAAATCATATTTGCAGTAATCTGATTATGTTTTATATATTGGAAAGAATTATGAAATGAAATCATCTCAGTTATGCACCAGTGTACAACAAATCAATCAAGTATTTAGAGGGACTCAAATATCGCGCTCTAGTAGAGGACACTACCTGTGCATACTTAAGGAAATATCTCAAAACATTTCATGAATATTCTAACTCCCAGACCAGAAATTTGCTTTCTGTTCCACAAAATTGGCGTTTGAAGAACAAACACTATTTCATTTCTCAGTAAAACTAAGCTACAATTTTTATACAAAATTTACTAAAGTTCCAATAAATATGATGGTCTGATCATTTTATAAAAGTGGAAAAATTACTTTCTTAGATATGGTGTACAAATTCGTAAGAGTTTTGGAAGTCTAGGTCGACTAAGTCAGAGTTCAATAAATAAAGTCTATAAAACACCAAAGAATATCATGGAGAAAATAAGCTATATATCATTATAAATGAAGTCACAAAAGTGTTAGCAGTTTAAATGGGCCAAGGCTTAATTAAGGAGATCGAGGTCAACAAAATCACAAAAGAATATTGTCCTGGAGAAAGCAAACTAGATTTTGTAATATATGGGGTTACAAATTGCAAAATTAAGTCTTAATCAAATGGATCGAGGTTGAGCAAGACACAAAAGGGAATGGTTCTAGAGAAAAGAAATAAGATATTGTAATACATGGAATCATAAATTGCAAAAGTCACTGAATTTTACATTAAAGAGATTGATCAAGTCACAAAAACATATGATTCTAGAGAAATAAAACTAGATACTGTGATATATGGAGTCAGATATTACAGCAAAAAAAGGGTTAGATCGCCAACTATGAGATTATGACGTTTATTTAAGTAATTTTAATGATCGACTTCTTAAAAATTAATACCAATTCCATTCAGGAAATACAATCCAAATACAAATACAAAAAATCTATATATGAATTTATCCATATTCCGTAGACCGTTCCAGCTTAACACCCAATTTTATCTCTTTTTTCATAAACGCGTAGCGTAATTTTAAAAATATCTTATTTTTCCAGAATACAGTGTTTAAATTTCATATTTTATTATTCCATTTATGTCCAACGCTTAGCATAAATAATCAATTCCCTATCATAATAACCCCTTTTTCTGGTGTCCTACTAACCAGTCACCAGTCACTATCAAAGCGTTTGAAAGTTTTAATTGAATCAATTGGTCACGTTCCATCCAGTACCAAATCGCCAGCATTAAACTGCTTTATCCGATATTTGATATTTTTTGGGTCATAGCTGAACGAACAGAAAATTTTATTACAACTTTGTGAAATTTTCCCTACAATTGGAACCGTCGGAAAATTCAATTTGAATACGAGCGAAGCATAAAGCATTTCCTCCTTTTTGCGAATTAAAAATTTTGCTCGCAACGTTAACAAATCCAGAGCGACAAGCTGTGGGTGGCACACAAATATCCATGAAGGCGGAAATTTCGTTAATGAGTTGTGGAAATGCAAGGATGAAGTGGCGAAAACTTACAAATGCAACAACAACGGTAAAAACAACTGCAACAATGAAATCACTAACAACAACAACGAGCTGCAAATTTAAAGTCATTCTGACAAAGCGTAATTGGAAAGCTCAGCGCAGCGGCTCCTATTTAAGCCGCAACGATGAAATTGCATATTCATTCTTCTTGGAAAGAAATTTGGTGAAATATTTTTTGAAGGCTTGTAACTATTTTCTGAGTGGAAAGCATTTTCGCTGCAATTTTGCAAGTAGCATTTTTGCTCTTATGCGGTTGTTACTGAGCTTTCATAAGGAATGCATTTTTTAAAGTTATTCACGTCCGCACATTCGCAATTTAACAAAAAAAATTATGAAAAATAATAAAAAAATTAAATATATGGAGAAAATTATTTTCTGGAGTGGTCTTCCATTTTACTTTTTCATTTAAATTTAAAAATTAAGACAGGGCCAGATATTATTTTTTCCTCTTTGCTGGGTGACGACATCGATGCTATTGGGCGCAGCGAGTGCCTTTACAGCTATCCTTAATCGTATAGAAAAAATCGGCTTTGCAGTGAATGACAGTAAAATGTGATATTTGCCTTAACATAAATGTACGTCATACAGACAGTCACCCGTTTGCAGAGGTCAACATTTTTATGTTTTTCATCTTTACTGGAATTGCCAACATTGAGATCAAATGAATATGTATTGCAAATAGGTGTACTATATCTATGG